ACTAAAACTTTTGATGTCACCTAAAAGTTCTAAAATAGAAAATGGGGGAAAATGTGAGAAGACATTATAGTCAATTGAAAGAAGAAAATTTTCAGTTTGAAAGCTATTGTGGAATATTAACTATGTAGAGGTGTGCTGTATTTGTTTATGTTGCACTTATTTAATTAAGCGAAGATGTGTTGCTGTTTTACCTTACCTGCTTAAGGTACCTGATTGGTCTAATAAAAAGCTGAACAGCCAATAGCAGTAGAGGGATAGGCAAAGCAGGAAGGCAGGGAGGGAGAATAAGGAAGAGGAGCAATCTAGGCTCTGGAGAAGAGGGAACAAGGGAGAAAGAGAGGGAGGAGACACCTGGGGCCAGACAGACAGACAGCCAGACAGCCAGATGACAGTCACAAGAAGCCGGAAAGTAGGACATACAGGAGAAAAGAAAGGTGAAAGGCCCCCAGGCAAAATGCAGATGAAGAGAAACAGGTTAAGTTATAAGAGCTAGTGGGACAAGCAAAGGATAAGACTGAGCATTCATAACTAATAATCAGTCTCTGTGTCATGATTTGGGAGCTGCTCGGTGACCCATGCCCCCCAAAAAAGCCTGCTACAGAAATGCCCAGCAAAGGCCAACCAGGATGTTTGTAAAATTGACATATGACCCCCAAAAAAAATCAAATGAGGAAAGAAAAGTCCTAAATGGAATCACAAAGGGGTGGAAATGAGAATCATGGCATCAGGTCTCTCTGAAAAACAGAAGTGAAAGAAGAAACGGCGGGGGGGGGGGGGGACATGGTATTAACTGTGAAAATAAAAGACTTCAGAAGGCTTATGGCCTGCAGAACTACTGTGAAACAAATAGAGACATCAGCAGAAGAAAATCAATTCATGAGACAGAATGAGAAACAAAAAGCAACATGTGCAAAGCGGATAACTTTGTTCAAACTTAAGCATAAGACAAGATTTACGAAATAGGCAGGAAAGCTGGGGAGGAGAAGGAAGACAGGGAACAAAATGGACACGACATTTCAGATTGAAAGTGATTAGCTGGGCTCTGGATGCCCTCATCAGTGGACACAAACACTTTTGTCTCTTCAGGAAGTACAAGAGGAGCATGGTGTAGACGGATACACAGACTTGTGAACTTCTGGAATCTGAATCTGGCTCTACGACTTTCCGGGGATATAACCCTGGGTGTATTTAATCACTGTACGCGTCACCCCATGTGTACACTGGGACATCAGTGCCTGCTGTGTACAGTTGTTATGAGCCTTTAGCTGTGTTGTACCTAGCATGTAGTACTATATACAGCTGGTGTGTGGAGAAATAAAATTAGCAAAAGGAGTCTATTCCTTGGGCGAAGGGGCTGTGGTTACCTAAGGAAAAAGAAGATAACAGAAAGCTATAAGACAAAAGCTAAAGAAAGCTGAAGAGGGCCAGTGAGATGGTTCATGGAGTAAAGGTACCTGCTGCCAAGCCTGACAACCTGAGTTCAATCCCTGGAGCCCACATGCAGGAAGAAGAACACCCACCCCCAGCTGACAACCACATGTGCACACACACACACACACACACACACACACACACACACACACACACACACACACAAAATGTAATTCCAGAAACTTTAAAAAGACATCGTGAGTTCCAGGCCAACCAGGGCAATATATACAATGAGACTTGATCTCAAAAGATATATTTTAAAAAAAAAGAAAACTCATAAATATAAAAATAGTCACATTCCATTCCAATACATATGGACATGATACCATTTGTAGGCAGAGACCTTCCTCTCTCCCTCCCTCTCTTTCCCTCCCTCTGTCTTTCTCCCTCTCTGGGTTATGTGTGTGTTCACTTATAGAAATATGCAACAGGATAACCAAGCCACCTAGCTACCACTGTGGAAGGAACTGGCAACAATGTTCAAGTGAATTTCATCCTTATCTTTCATACTGGGTCATTACCATGAGAATATACCCATGTGAGAATTCTGGGGAGTTGAAATTAAATAGCAGGAAGCAATGAAAAGAGACCGAGGACCTCTGCTATCTGGGAGTTGGAAAGGAGATACAGAAGAGATGACATCAGGGCCATGTGTTGAAGGAGGTGATGCTTCAGGAGGACATGGGGGCTTGAGAAATGGATGTCATTATAGAATGACCAGGATTTGTACCCACCAAGTTTGGAGGGCTGTGGTTGGTTGCTATTTTAGTTTGTTCCTGCTGCTATAACAAAATACCTTATATGGGGCTGATTTTGAAATAACAGAGATCGGACTGGGGTGCAGCTGAGTGGTAGGATATGTCTAGCATGTGAAAAGTTCCAGCACCACATCCAGTAAATAACAGAAATGGCTCTCTCGTAACTCCAGGGACTGGAAAGTGCAAGTTCATGGTACTTGGATTCAACACCCAGTGAGGGTACACACGCTCCTGTTCAGATGGCACCTTGTTACGGAATCTTCATGTGGCTGAAGGGAACTGGTAAACTTGTTCACTGGCACATGGTTAGGGGTCTACTAATCATTTCCGTGGGAGCTCTGCCTAACCTAACCCTGGAGGGGTCTCTATAACCCGATCACCTCTCCTCTCTTTTTGTTGTTTATTTGATTTTGATTTTGGGTGGCCCTTACTTACAATTTCAGCACAGGAGACTGAGGCAGGAGAATCTTGAATTCAAGACCAGCTTGGACTACACAGTGAGATCCTATCCAGGAGGAAAAAGGGAGGGCGGGGGTGCAGAAGAGATGGCTTAGTAGGTATAGTGTTTGCAACATGAGGACTTAAGTCTGCATGCCCATCATTCATGTAAAAGCCTGGTGTGGTGGCTTACATTTATAACCTCAGTATTAGGGGTCAGGGGAGGGATAGGTGTATCCTATGTGTTTTTGCATGTATGACAGAGAAAAGGGAGATAGAGAAAAGAGGAACATTTCAGAATGAATTTTTAGATTAGTATATTTGCCATTGTGGAAGATCACTTGCTTTGTCTTGAACACGTAAAAACTCATACTTATAGTAGCCATCTGCTAGCTGGCCTAGTGGAGGGTCCTATAGCCCTGAGTAGAGTGTCCCCAGCCCTCAGAGCTCTTCTATCACCTTGTGACAGGATGTACAGGGACATAGCAGGTCCTAACAGGAAGAATATGGAGCTGAGGGGAGTCTTATAAGATTAAAGTTCCCAGGGAAAGGCCTTCATGTTGGGGCAGGCCTGGCCGGGAGTCAGGCAGAGAACAAGAGAACATAGACAACCCTGAGAAAAAGCCCCCAGATCCTACTTGCTAAACTTGTACAGCACAGTCCCCAATCCCTGGCTTGAGTAGGGACCATGTAACCCTGAGCACAAAGCAGTTCTGATGCTGCTGAAGATGAAGATACTAGGAAGAGTTAGCTGGGAAAGCAGATGTGTCCCCTCTACACCTTCTGAGAAGTGGCCGTTTCCTAGGGTGAGCCAACCAAGCCTAGGGCTTGTATGGGAGCCTGCACTGGGGGCCCTGTGCTGCCAGGAACAGAAACTCCTTCAGGTTCATTCCACTGGGGGGAGGGGTGTTGACATGACTCTGACATCTGGGATTCTTTCGCTTCTGTACCCTTTGCTGGAGCAGGCACTTCTCCACCCTCAACTGAGCTGCCAGAAGGAAGCCTTTTGACAAGCCAGAGGCTCTGCTAGCACAAAAACACTCTGGAGTCCCCCAATCAGGATCCAAGAGGGCTCTCAGTCCCATGCTGATAGACTGAATATCTCAGGACACCCGTATGCACATACCATATTTCGATAGGGCTAATCAGCTGAGAGATAGCTCCTGGGGATAATGAAGTGTTTGTGGGTGAATCCCAAAAAGGAAGTTCCTAATGCCCCGTTTTTGGAGGCAGAATGGATGGATAGGAAACAAATGAGAAAAGAAAGGGCCCTTTGGTACCACGCCTTGCTTCCCTTAGTATGCACAGTTCACCAAACAGCACACGTTTTCCCAACCATGGGCTAGTGTCCCATCTTTCCTCATCTATTAAGTGTTGTGTAGATACAGAGGAAGCTTCAAGGGCCCCAGGGATCTTGGGAGTTCCAGGTCAGTGATGCCTAGTGGAGTTTATCTCAAGAGGCAATGGTGGAAGCCAGCTATGGTGACTCTACCTGTAATCCCTAGCACTTTGGGAAGCTGAGGCAACATGATTACCTTCAGTTCAAGACAAGCCTGGACTATAGGATAAGACCTTGTCTCAGAAAATGGTGGGAGTAGTTAGGGGAAGGAAGAAAGATCCAAAAACAGATTCTTTTTTGTTGTTGTTGTTTTGTTTTTCGAGACAGGCTTTGGAGGCTGTCCTAGAACTAGCTCTTGTAGACCAGGCTGGTCTCAAACTCACAGAGACCCGCCTGCCTCTGCCTTCTGAATACTGGGATTAAAGGCGTGCACCACCACCACCTAGCTCCCAAAAACAGATTCTTAGCAAGCCCATGACCCTCAGCCAATTGCAATTCTTGGAACTTCATTCCAGATATCAGACTTCAATACAATGTTTCTCTCTGACTCTGTCAATTCATTTATTTGCTCCTTTCTTCCCACTGAAGCTTCTAAGAGGCATCAAGATATGACTCCCTGTGGACAATTGTCTCAGTGGCGCTGCAAAGGCCACAGTCTCTGCCTAGGCTATGGATCCCTGACCTTGAGTTATACACACCAGTGAGCTAGAGCAGCTGCATGCAGTGAGGGCTATGACAGCCTTGCATGAAGTCACTATGATAGTAACAGTTTCTGTTAGGTGTGGCAAGACCAGCAGACTGTGTGACACATCAAGTTCATCTTGTAAGGGGACAATTTTGTCCCTAAAGTGGGTGTCCGAAAAGTTTGGGGACATTTGGCAGCTTCCCAACAAATTCACACCTAATTTTAACTCTTAGACCATAGATCTCCAAAGCCAAAAGTAGCTGAATAGCCCAAAATCCCATAATGACATTTTCTCTGACCCCAGACGTCCCCAACCCCACATCAAAGAAGGCCAAGAATGCAAGCCAACTCACACGCACTTCCTTCTTTATTTTTATCCACGGGATCGGGGTGCAATAGGGTATGGGCCCTCAGACAGACAAGTGTAAGGAAGAGGACATGGAAACTGTTTTCCACACCCTGCTTTCCTCCTAGCTGATGGGGGCGGGGGAAGATAATGGTGGCTATTAGCTGTAGCTTTTAGATGCAAGCACAGTGCTGTGTAATAAGGTTGGGTACCATCTCATACTTGAAAGAGTAGCCTCCATCTGAGGTGGTTCGGACACGTAGGGACCTCATGCTCCCTGGTAGAGCAGCGCAACAGGGCTTGGCCCCTGGCACCAAAAAGAGGGGCTGAGCAGGGGTAGGAGGAACCCCAGGGGCTGGCAGGGGCAGATCGGTCGTGGGTATCCCGCAGCTACCATGGCAGTAGTGGAAGATGAAACTGGGAGGATGCACAATCCAGCGGTCCCAGCCCAGCTCTTGGAAGGAGATGTTAAGTGCAGCTCGATGGCAGTAGGCATGGGCAGCAGGCTCTTCCGGAGGCCTCTGCAGTAGTCGCAGTGCTGCGGGAGACCAAGGCCAAGGCATCGAGGGAGTTGAACGTCGGGCCCTCTCCCCCGCACTGGGTGGTCTATCCCGGGTGTGGGCCACTAGGAAAGGCATGGTCTCTGGTCGGGCTGAGCAGGTACAGAGAGGGCACCGAAGCAGCAATGCTAGGACGGGGTGGGTCAGCAGAGGGAGAGCAGAGGCCGCCAGGTGCAGTACAGCCCAGCGAGGAGGTCCCTGTCCCCAAGACACAGGCACAGCCACGGGCCCCCCAGACGACAGCACCAGCAGGTCTAGCAGGGTCCCAGAACTATTGGAGAGCACGGTGTTCTTCCTGTCTAGCCCTGTGTGGAACCACAACTGGGCGGAAGTCACCTGGTGGCTGCGCATGTGTTGGGATGGCCGGAATATGTAAGTGAAGAGACCTTCTCCAGCCTCCTGGGCAAGACCTCCAGCAGCTGGCTGGTCCTCACAGGTGGCACCTACAGGGGACGGATGGAAAGACAGGGCAACCTTATCTGTAGGACTGGAAACATCTTCATGAGAAGAATGTGAGGACATCCCGCAGTGATGATTAGGTGTCAAACACTGTTGACTCGTACACTCTCTGGAGTCTTGGGGAAAACTAACAGAGGCTCCCCAGTTTTCCATTCACCATCAAAACAAGACATGGGCGCTGTCCTAAACAGTTTTACCGATTAACTAAACAGCAATGTGTAAGAGTCCATTTCACTACTTTCCCCCTCAGGTACACTGGTTAGTGTCCATCAGACTAACATAGTGATTACCTTGGCTGTTGTGTGTATGGGTGTTTATGTGGCTTTTGACGTATCTCATATCCCATGATGTATCTCAGAAATTTTATATGATAGACTCCCTAAAATAACTGTATCTTCAAAGACAGTTCACAGGGTGGGGAGACGGCTCATTTGCTAAGAGACTTGTGGCTTGAGCATTAGGACCTGAGTTCAATCCCCAGCACCCACAAAGAAAGTCGTCTGCATTCCTGTAATTCCTCTCAACACTAAGGAGGTAGAGACACTTGGGGCTTGCCGGCAGTCAGTCTGACTACTGGTGAGCTCTCAGTTCAGTGACAGACTGTCTCAAAAGCTGAGGTGGAAAGTGACTGAGGAAGACGTTGGGTGCCAACCTCGCACCTGCTCACACACGCGTGCACGCGTGCGCGCGCGCGCGCGCACACACACACACACACACGCATATGCATAATCAAAGGAGAAGACCTACTAAAGAAAGTGGACAGGAAACGGGGAAGGAAAAGAGAATGGAATGAAAGGAGAATAGAAGAGGCCCATCCATCTCAGGGACACGCAGCTGGCATTCCTGTCCCAAAATACACGCAGACTACAATAACTATCATGGGCCAGCTGTCGTCAGAAGACTGGCAATCAGGGCTACACTAGTACATAGCCTCTTTCAATATAAATTCTAACAATTAATCCAATTTCTGGACAAGACACTGGGGCTGGAGATAGGAAGTGGCTGACAGTCAGCTACTAAGTGGCCAGGCTGGGATTCCACTTGATCTGAAATCCATACTTTCCCCTACTATGCTGCCAAGGGCCGAAGGGAGGGAAGTGAGGGGACCTCTCTAAAAGAACTGTGGGCCCGATGAGAAGGGAGCCCGGTGGGAGGAGGGCTTTTCTCTTCCAGTCATCAGGACACACGCTCAGGGATGAGAAAGGGACTCCTGGGGCCATAGCTAAGCATCTCAAGTCCCAACTGCCTAGTGCTAATGAAATGGTGTGTGTGTGTGTGTGTGTGTGTGTGTGTGTGTGTGTGTGTGTGTGAGCACTGCCTCCGTAGAGCCTTAGTTTCCCTTTGATATTCCAGTTGTGCCAGGCCCACTAGATCGCTCCAGCCTGAGTACAGGCTACCACCTATTTGGTGATGATCAGGGAGGTTTAGGAACTGTCCCATTGCTGCAAAGCCAGCTGAGTTCTGGGGCCGCCATTCACACCCAGATATGCCTGTCTCCCGATCTCCTGAGATAGGTACCAGCTACTTTCCAAAGTTGACCTGCCAGTCCCCAATTTCATTACCTGTGGCTGGGAAAAGGATGACCTGGGAGACATCCTCCTCCTCTGGTTCAGAGGTCCTGTGCATGGAGCCCCCAAGGGCGTGTCTTCTAGGCAGCCGCCTTATTTCAGGACTCCCACCTTCCCCAGCCATCACTGGGGGACCCAAGGCATCTAGGATAAGAGCCTTCACCTTGGCCAGGACAAGCTCCCGCACCAGTTCTGGCCCCTGGCAGCCATCCCCACCCTGTAGGGTCAACAGCAAGAGGAGCAGCAGAGATGGCTGGGTCAGCATAGTTCGCTTGGCCCTGACAACAGGGAACCCACACCCTGCCCCGTGCCCCTTCTGTCTAGGACCTCCCCATCCCACTGCCTGCCTTCTTCTACCCTTCTCACCCCCGGCTCCCCCGTCCTGCCCACGCCCCACAGTCCCAGTTGCCCCTGCCCATGGCATTGAGACCTCCTATCTCTGACGCAGATGTCTGTGGCCCTGAGCCTTATCTCCCACTCCCGCCAAGAATGTGGGGGAAGGGGCTGTGGAGGGTGTTCACCCCAAGTGACCTGACCCATTCATGTGAGAATACAACCCATCACACACACACACACACACACACACACACACACACACACACACACACAGTCGACGTCGGGTACCACAGGTGCCTGGGTGTTAAGGTTGGCTAGTCATGAGTTCCTGAAAGTGTCATTTGTCAGGGAGACAGCATGTACCAACCCCCTCAGACTTAATGGGGTTCCTTTCAACCACAGCAGCTGCTAGAGCCATCGTGGGAGGGAAGACCTGGGTCTGGGGCTCTGGGCCGAGGGCAGGTGGTCCCGCCTGCTCTATACTTAGCCTGGAGGAGCCAGTCTGGGCTCTTGTCCTCCAGCTGTGTCATCAGAGAATATTTTTGGGATTGGCAGCTGCAGGCGCCTAGGCCACTCAGGCCCAAGCCTGGCCGGCAGTTGGGAACCTGGCGGCTGGAGGTGGGAAGGAGGAGGGGAAAGAGGCCCAGGCTGTGGGAGGGGGCTGGGAAGCGAAGCTCCCGGGAGCAGGAAGCCAGGCCGCCGGCAGACTAGGCTGCAGGGCCCCTCGCTGCACAAGCAAACAGGAAGGACTGCCCCCTGAGCTCTGGGCTCGGGGCCCGGGAATCGCCGCGCAGCAGGGCTGCAGCTCGGGTCGAGGGGAAGGAGGCCAGCGGACACCGGCGGGCACCGGAGTTCCGCGGGTCCCCGCTCCTGCTCCGCCACGCTCCGGTCTCGGTTCCCGGCCTTCCCGCCCGCCCAGGCGGGCCATTTGCAGCGGCCGCGATGAAGGCTGGCTCGGGGGATCAGGGGAGCCCCCCGTGCTTCCTGCGCTTCCCGCGGCCCGTGCGGGTGGTAAGTGGCGCCGAGGCCGAACTCAAATGCGTGGTCCTGGGGGAGCCGCCGCCCACTGTCTTGTGGGAGAAAGGCGGAGAGCAGCTGGTGGCCTCGGAGCGCCTGAGCTTTCCGGAAGACGGCGCCGAGCACAGCCTGCTGCTGAGCGGCGCGCTGCCCACCGACGCCGGGGTCTACGTGTGCCGCGCCCGCAACGCGGCCGGAGAGGCCTACGCGGCGGCCGCCGTGACCGTGCTGGAGCCCCCCACTCCAGAGCCCGAACCCCAATCCTCTGAGCGACCATTGCCACCACCGGGCACCGGGGAGAGCGCCCCGGTGTTCCTAACGGGGCCCCAGTCCCAGTGGGTGTTGCGCGGGGCGGAGGTGGTGCTGACGTGCCAGGTGGGAGGCCTCCCGGAGCCCAAACTGTACTGGGAGAAGGATGGGATGGCCTTGGACGAAGTGTGGGACAGCAGCCACTTCGCGCTGGAGCCGGGCCGCGGCGAGGGTGACCAGGGTGCGAGCCTGACGCTGCGCATCCAGGCTGTGCGGCTGCCCGATTCCGGGGTGTATGTGTGCCACGCCCGCAACGCGCACGGCCACGCGCAGGCCGGCGCGCTGCTCCAGGTGCACCAGCCCCACGAAAGCCCGCCCCAGGACCCGGATGAGCCCCCCGTACCCGTGGTGGAACCTCTCAAGTGCGCACCCAAGACCTTCTGGGTGAACGAGGGCAAGCATGCCAAGTTCCGCTGCTACGTGATGGGCAAGCCAGAGCCCGAGATCGAATGGCACTGGGAGGGCCGCCCTCTGCTCCCTGATCGCCGCCGCCTCATGTACCGTGACCGCGATGGTGGCTTTGTACTTAAGGTGCTCTACTGCCAGGCCAAAGACCGGGGACTCTACGTGTGCGCAGCGCGCAACTCGGCGGGTCAGACTCTCAGCGCAGTCCAGCTGCACGTGAAAGGTAGAGCACCGTGCCTTCGGTGCCCTCAGAGGGCCTCCATGCTCTTGTCCACCTCCGTGTCCTGGGAAATACAGAATTCCCGTTTCCTACCTGCGTCCCACCCTCAGGGATGCAGATTTAGACGTCTCCAGTACACTTGTGAAATGCTTAGCAAACTACCCAGGCAGATGTTGAAAACCACTAAAACCACGAAATTTAGGGATAGATGACTACGTGTCTGTCCTTTCATCTATGGTCACAAAGATGACTATGGGACCTTTCAAGCCCTACACTCTCATCCTTTGCTCTTCTAGGCCTCCTTTTCCCTACTGGATTCCCATCTGTAGCTTTGTCTGTAAGATAAAAGGAGCATTTTATGGGTGTAAATAACTACGTCTAAATTTATAACATGCTAATCAGTAAGAACAAGGGGGCTGCTGTATTGAAAACACACATTTGGAGTGGAGGCTCTGTTCACAGCTTCAGGCCCTGAATCTGTTGGGAAGGCCCGTGCAAACCTCCCTGAAGCAACTGCTCATTCACAGGGGAGATCAGCTTGCTAGAGGAATAGTACCCAGCAATCTTTTTTTCTTTTTTTGTTTTTCGAGACAGGGTTTTTCTGTGGCTTTGGAGGCTGGCCTGGAACTCGCTCTGTAGACCAGGCTGTCCTCGAACTCACAGAGATCCGCCTGCCTCTGCCTCTGCCTCTGCCTCTGCCTCTGCCTCTGCCTCTGCCTCCCGAGTGCTGGCATTAAAGGCGTGAGCCACCAACGCCCGGCTAGTACCCAGCAATCTTAATTCTTTCATTAATCTGCTGTTTAAGTTTAAAAGAAGATGAAAGTAAAAGAGCATAAATAAATAAGTAAATAATAAAAAAATTACCTAACATGTTTTCAGTACTCATGAACAGAAAACACAGAGAAAACAAAACGTACCTAAAAGTCACGCTGGAACTAAAGTTCTCCTTAATAGGACTTGATCACAACTCGAGGGATTACACTTTCATTAGCTGTTGCCTAACTTTCTCCTTCCAAGGAAAACATGTTGGAAAGTTCCCTTGAGTCCTGCCTGGCACTTAACCAAGTGTGTGGTACCTGAGCTGTGACAGTGTCCTCGGGGGCACAACTCAATGTGCCCAAACTTGCCAGGCCAGTGCAAAACTGGAATGTCCTCAAAAGTAAGGAACCGTCTCCAAGTGGCACAACAACTTGCTTCCCCAGTACAAGTTAGCTCTCTGGCGGTTTCCTGTTTCTGAAACGTGGGTTCGAAATGCTTTGCATGCTATTAAAATTCAGTGCAGACCCCCACAGAATTAGGGAAAAGTTGTAGAGTTAGGGGACAGTTTGAAGATCACTGATCTCACTCAGCTCTTGTCCTCCCTCTCTCCATTTAACACACAAGCAAACTGATGTGTCCAAGGTGATGCAGCTGGTGAGCACCAGGGTCAGGCTGGAAATTAGGCCATCTAACTGCTGGGCATTTGGCTGCCACCCCCAGGCTTCTGGGAAGAGCAAGTAATGTTTGGTACCAGTCCCTCTCCTGTTTCTCCTGAGCCTTCTCTTGCTCCCCTCTTTCTGCAGAACCCCGCCTCCGGTTCACAAGGCCCCTCCAGGATGCGGAGGGCCGAGAGCATGGGATTGTAGTGTTGGAATGTAAAGTACCGAACTCTCGAATCCCCACGGCCTGGTTCCGAGAGGACCAACGACTGTTGCCCTGCCGCAAGTACGAGCAGATTGAAGAGGGCACCGTGAGACGTCTCATCATCCACAGGCTGAAGGCGGATGATGACGGCGTCTACCTGTGTGAGATGCGGGGTCGAGTGCGCACTGTAGCCAATGTGACAGTCAAAGGTCAGCTGGCCGGGGGGAGGAGGCTGAGGCAGGTGGTGTCTAGATCCTGGGCTGATGGATTCCCATCCACATCACAGGACCCATCCTGAAGCGCTTACCCCGGAAGCTTGATGTCCTGGAGGGAGAGAATGCGGTGCTGCTGGTGGAGACCCGAGAAGCTGGGGTCCAAGGTTGCTGGAGCCATGATGGGGAGGAGCTCCCAGCTACCTGCCAGAGCAGCTCTGGTCACATGCATGCCCTGGTCCTTCCAGGCGTGACCCGAGAAGATGCTGGGGAAATCACCTTTAGCCTGGGCAACTCCCGTACCACCACTCTGCTTAGAGTCAAATGTGAGAGCATGAAGCCCTATAAACAGGAGGGTAGCCGGTTGCCAGGTCCTGGGTTGGCAAAGGGCATTTAAAGCAGAAGTGTGGGTGGGGGGCGTGTGCAAGGCTCAGATGAAGATCTCGACTTTGTCTCAGGTGTCAAGCACAGTCCTCCTGGGCCCCCTGTATTGGTTGAGATGTTCAAAGGCCAAAAGAACACAGTCTTGTTGACCTGGAAGCCTCCCGAGCCACCCCCAGAGACCTCCTTCATCTACCGCCTAGAGCGGCAGGAGGTTGGGTCTGAAGACTGGGTCCAGTGCTTCAGTATTGAGAAAGCTGGAGCCGTAGAGGTGCCAGGGGACTGTGTGCCTGCCGAGGGTGACTACCGCTTCCGAATCTGCACCGTCAGTGAACATGGCCGCAGTTCCCATGTGGTCTTCAATGGCTCTGCTCACCTGGGTGAGTTAATCTTTTCCCTTTCAGTTTCTGTACCCCAAGTCATGCCTGCCTTTCTCCGACCCTTTGTCCTTAATGGCATTTTTCCATCCACTGGCTTCTGCCCTTTCTGGTTCTAACAGCCATATCCTGTCTCTGTCCCAGTACCCACAGCTCGCCTGGTGTCAGGCCTGGAGGATGTGCAGGTGTATGACGGGGAAGATGCCGTCTTCTCCCTTGACCTGTCCACCATCATCCAGGGCACTTGGTTCCTTAATGGGGAACAGCTCAAGAGTAATGAACCAGAAGGCCAGGTGGAGCCCGGAGCCCTGCGGTACTGCATAGAGCAGAAGGGCCTGCAGCACAGACTCATCCTGCAAGCTGTCAGGCACCAGGACAGTGGAGCCCTGGTAGGCTTCAGCTGCCCTGGTGTGCAAGACTCAGCTGCTCTCAGCATCCAAGGTTGGTACTGGAGGACACCCAGGCAGATAGGTTCAAAGCACCTGTTTTGCCTGTTTC